CAACTTTCACTAGGCAGAATATCTGGGGAAAAAATGAAAATAAGAGGGTGTGGTTATCATGATGAGAGTTTATGTCCATTTTGAAAGGGGATGTTACAATGGGTCTACTGTATCAGTGTATATGACCTAAGCTTCACACTCGCCCCCCCCCCACCCAATGTTCTAGAGATGAGCTTGAGGAGTGGGAGAGAGACCAACATTCATACCTTCAAATGAAATTATAACTTGAACAGTTGGTGAGAATTATATTGTAGACTTCTGTCATTTAATATAATATGAACTTTTGAGAAAACTCAACAATAACAAAAATTAAACCATGCATCCACAAAATAAGTATCAAATACAGAATACAAATCAACTGATTTTCATTTAAATAAACTGATTTTCTCTATATCCTGAGATGATCCCCTGGAGGTCAGATTAACCTAGATTAAGTTATCTATTTACTCATCAATTCCCAGATCAACTCCCACCAGAGCAGGAGATAGGATGAACAGAAGATACATTTTGAGCCAAGTAACAAACACATGTTTCCTTTTATATGCCAACTTAGATTCTCATAACAAAATATCATCATCGGATTTCACAAGTGGCAACATTTGTAAAATGTCAACACAAGCGTGAAAATGGGAAGACCTAAAGGTGTAACAAAACAACAGTATGCAAGGTAAAACAAAGAAATGCCAGCTAACTTAAAGAAATCTAGAACTCTGCTTTTTCAGTTAAACCAAAAGATCAAAATCATTTTTATACAAACACACCATTCAAACTAGTTAAATGAAGAAAGCTTATTAAGCCCTATTGAAAATAAGAAAAATATGAATAACTAACCATACAAATAGCCGAGTCCCATGGTCTATTTTTCAAATTCAAATTCATTTATGATTTTGTCAAATTATTTCTAAAAGAAATAGTCACAAGACTTTGAGAAAAATATGGTGCTCATCATGTGAAGTAAATAAAGCCAATTAAACAAATGATTAAATCATGAAATCGTCCTAATGGATGCATGGTGCTCAGTTTCAAATACAAAAGATTTCCACTGATGTTTTGCTTCCTGTTTATAGCCTACTCCCTCCTTATTAAAAGGGTGTTCTAACATTGTCAGAAAACAAAAGAATCTGCTAGAGGGAAATTTAAAAATGCATCTGAATTAACTATATAACCTGTAGTGTAATGGGGAAGATAATTCCCCTGGGATAATTCATTCTACCAAGAAAAAATATGGACAGTTATTCCCATATTAAGACCACGCCATGACATGTTACAAACATTGTTAAATTCATCAAATGGGTCAGGATGATTTCCTAATTTGAGGTAACTTTAATTAAATCTAACACCTTTCTTCTACAGTATTGAATTCATCTTGTACATACCTCAAATTCTATATGCAGATGATTTGAAACTCTATACCAGAGTTTACTATTAATGGAATAATAATACCAAACCAAACCTTACTCCAAAATATCATCTTTGGAATTCAGATATGGTTTTAACAGAAATTTCAAAATTAATCCCCTCGACAAAGAAGAAATAAATCAAATGAGACTTCCAGGGTTCTACACCAAGGTTCTAAATATGATTGCCTCAATTTGACAGGCAATCAGATTGCCCTACTGGCAACCTGTTATTCAAATTCCATCGCCAATAGAAAAGTGATTCAGATTAGCAATGAGGCAACTGGGTGCTATGAATGCTGGAAGGGGAGAGGGTGGAGGGTGGGGGTTCTATTGAGATAAGATACATGACACAAAATAGGCCTTTTCCCAACATATGAGAAATAAGGATTTGAAATACAGTATATATGAGAGAGTTTATAACAGTTATGTTGATTAAAATAAATAAAGAAATAAACATACAGAAACAATATTTTTCTACTTTCCATGTGTAAATCATTTGCAGAAACCATTCATAAGCCAAGATCTCCCAAAATTTGGCTTTGAATCAAGCAAAATATACATCACTTATGTATTACATGTTCTGCCTACCCCTAACATGTGTAATTACATGTAATTCATCATGTTAACACTACATTATCTTACTTAATGTTTATAACACTGTCAAGTAATCATAAATATTAGTTTTAAGGCAAATAAAACTGGATTGGAAAACAGTATCTTTAAAACAGTTTGCATGATGACCTACTTTGGCTAAAATTGGCCAGTTTCTATGAATTGAATACCTAAAAATATCAAAAAGGTGCTGAAATTGTTGGGCCCGTTTTAGATGATGGTGAAATAATCGATTAGACTGGTCAATTCAGAAATGAAGTAAACAAAAACATAAATTATCTTAAATGCTCAACAATGCTAGTATTAAAAGTATTGTTCATGCAAAATTCTAGAATACAAACACTTAAATCTTCTGCATCATGTCGAAAGTATATTTGTGTATCTAATCTCAAAATATTGTGTAACTGGCATTAACAATGATAGATCTCTTATAAAGCATCAGACTGTTATTTTGGAATGTGAATCCTACCCCATGGAAAATACCAAGATTGACATGATTTAAAATGAAATATATCTAGTAAAACAAAGAGAAATAATTAGCATGGAATAAACAACACAGGCATAAAGTCTATGCTCAAAATTATATAGTAATGCAAAAAACATGTTACTCTTCAGTCATTTAAAGAAAAATTCATTAAAAGGCACAGAGTGATATAAAAGTGAGGATTGTAAATTATTGAAGAACTTATACTTCTTTTACTTGTTAAAATGAATTCCATACAGTTGCCAATGCCATTAAACACTTACCAAGTTATTTCACCTTACACATAACTTTTAACCAGAGAAGAAATCTAAAAATCAATGTCTTTCTTGGGATGTATTTAGGACTGTACAACTTACAAGATGCCACTGGAATTCTTATCCTTACTAGAATTCTAGATAGATGCAGAACCCACATAAATCATTTTTATACACTAAAACTGTACTTATGGAATTTTTCTTGGAGTTTAATTGAGGACATTTATAAGCTTTAAGAATGTTGCCTTTTTTGGATACCCTGTAGATGGAAAATACATGTTCTAAAGTAATTGATTGATATTGTCCCCTTCATCCTATTCCCATAGTTTTGAATTTTGATAATGACTTGTTCCTATATGGTGGGGGTATTATAATTGTACATTGCTTCTTTCTAATGTAGATCAAAATTTCGAATATATGGGGGTTCATGTTCCTAATCCTTATGGCTGGATGAAGTCTTAGATATTTCATTTTCTTGCTTTGTTTTGAATCATATTTTAGTCTTTTCCACTTTGGCATTTATATACATTTGATTAAGACATTATTTCCTGATTTCTTTATATAGACAAGACCCTTTAATGCTGTGATAACATTAGAGACTCTGGCATTTGAGTGCCTACATGCAGTCATATCAAATGAAAGCTTATATGGCAGGCTGGTGAGTGAGACACATAGCCCACCAGAGACATAAAGATACAACTTCATACAAGAAGTATGTAACTTGAGCCTAGTAGACATCTGACCTATATACTATACCAGAACTACAAGACTTTATAATACAGCTGTAACAACAATGAACAATGTACATGTATATGTGCTGAACTGAAAATGGAGGAGATTAGCTGAAAACACAAAAATAATCAATTGGTTCATTTTTGTAACTTCTTGAAATATTTAAACATTTATCAATTTAAAAAACTTTAAAGGAAAGGGCAATTAGATTATTTTGCAATAATTTAGGTAAAAGTGAGGCATTTGATTGCTTTGTAAAATATGCTTTGATACAAGTAAACTACATGTAACTCTTAAATCATTTCATTTTGTTAAGTTTCTTTTTAATATTTTGAAAAAGAGATCAATATTGAGTTCTGATTAGTGTCTGGTCAAACAGATTCTTTTTTATCAAATTAATAACAATAGAAGGAATAAACAAGTAAGTATCCAAGATCAGAACCAAGACATATCATGATCACTTGCCTGGCAGTTCATAGTGTTCTTCATGAATATATTGTGACCTTTCTAAAGAGCATGTCCTATTTGGAACCATGTAAAATACCACAGTGGCCAAGTTTTAAAATGCAAAATAGAGTGGAAAGAGTGGGTGAAGCAGGGAATAAAGTAAACAGATGTGAAGGGAACACTGTGAATTGTAAAGAAAAACAGAAAATCAGAAAAATCACTGAAATTTCATGGAAGAATTGTGGAATAAACTTACGCAGAATGAGAATGTAAAGTGTTGGATAGCATATTGGTTTAATTATTTAGAAGCAGAATGTGATCAGGCAAACACTGTGACATAGCAGTGAGGACTGGTGAACTTGTTTTTTGGTATGTCTGTAAATGTGGTATCAAACTATCAACAACCCCAGGAAAACAATTCAAAACAGTTTCTGGAGGAGTTTGTTCCAAGATTTATTTTGCTTTTGTTAACCTATTTCCTAAGCCATGTATCATCATGACAAGGTCCCTGGAATAAATTATTTTGGCTAATTACCTTGCTTTATAGACCCGCTTAGCCTTTACTTGTCACTCATCTAACTTGACATTCTACATTTCTTCCTGCAAAAGACCTTTATTAATCAAAGAACTTCCATGTCCCTGATGACTCTGATGTAACTGCTTACTTACTTACTAATCAGCCTGATGTCCATGGTGGTTGCGTTCAAGGGGGAGGGGGGTCATGTCTTTATTCTCTTATGATATGACCATGGACTTTTCAAGCGGTGAGTCCCATCACCAACATCCCCCATTCAATGTTCACAATAAATGATTTGCAAACAGTCATTATAGAATCTCATTTGAGGTGTGCATTTCTGATTGCATGCTGATTCCAAATTTCCAAAAGAAATGAACACATTTTTAATCTGAAAGATTTTTCCGCATCAGGGGCAGGCAAACAGGCCGGGAGGGGTTTTCCTGAATTTAATGAAAACCTAACCCACATTCTTAAATAAATGCACGAATAATAATACTGAAAAGTTATATTCTACACTTAGCTTGCTCAAGATTCTGGATCAGGTTAAAACTTACCTTCAGACATTGTGGCGCCCTCTTTAACAGTTTCCAGTTGGGCGTGTCCGTTTTCAAATTGACCGTGTTCCTTTTCAAACACTTCAGTCGAGTCCTCACAAAGGCGTTCTTGTTGGTCAATGATGTTTTCCCAGTCAGAATCCCGGCTTTTCTGCGAGAGTAATCGCACTGGACTTTTTGTGGTATCGTCCACTTGAAACGTGATTTCCCCAGCCGCTCGGTGATTACTCGGCAGTTCTTCCGACTGGCTGCTTGCCTGAGGCCTTGCTCCGAAGTTGTAACTACGACTTGAGGCCATTACACTCTAACTTCACCTGATATTCCCGAAATAGATCAGAGACAGTGAATTTCCCAACCACGTTAATTCCTTCAGATCAAAAGTCTGCTAGATTACGCACTCCGCTATGTGTGACGATGTGTGGCGGGAAAAAGTTGTAATTCAAAAACTTCCAAATTTCGAGTTACAGCTTAGTTGTTGTTCCATATCATTGTGCAGGCTCTATATTAAAGTGAAGAAGCTTCTTGTTAATTGTTAGTAATACAGATAAAAATGGCTCCGGCTGTTTTTCTTATTAGAATTGAAAACTAAACTAAAGCTTTTAAGTTTTTGAGAATCTTTTTGTCAGCTCGGCGGAGATGTGTTCTTAGACATTTCAGTGCCAATGTAATTATATTTTCAAACCCTCGAAATTCAAATTCACTGTGTCACCACCTTCAAGTGAAACAACATAAGCCTACGGAATCACCAATGATAGATACCTGCAGCAGTGGCCCAAATTTTGAAAATTTGAGGCCCATTTTCTTCAAAATTTGGCCTGAAATTAAAAAATAAGGCCTTAGCAAAAAGGCCCAATTTTTGGGGCCTTAACCAAAAATTTTTGGGCCCATTTTTTGTGGGCTCAACTTAGGGGGGGGGGGCAGGCATGGGGGGGGGGGCAGGCCCCGTGCCCCCCCCCCCCGGATCCACCACTGCCTGCTAGAAAATGGTGGTTAGATAATATGAAACCAGTTCTTGGTGATGTGACGTAGGCCCAAGGGTGGACGTCTCAGGACATAGGCCTATTTCTATGACCGAGAAGATAATTTCTTTTCATTATTTGAAACTCGATTACCAAACAAATGGCCTAGAATAGAGGTCGCAACGGTACTGAAAACCAGTACCGGTAACCGTCACGCTAATAACCGTACCGTTACCGAAATACCGGTAAAAATATGTAAGATAAAATGCCAATTCGCTGCCAACCCCACTTTGTTTCTAACTCTCTCTGTAGCTTCTTAAGTCTATATGCATACATGGTGCAAGACCGATTTGAACCCATACTGATGAACTTCACGAAATAGTATAATATATGTAACTATCTTACGAATCAAGATGTATTTTTAGTTTTAAATTAAATGTATTGCACATTTCTAACCATTTCGCAACTGTATCAATTATTAGCAAGTGACGTGCAGCATACATGGGGGTGGGGTAGGAAAAATAACTACACCGGAACTGCCAAACATAAGCACAACCAAATCTGAGCCTGAGCATGAAGCTACTACACCAGAACTGCCAAACATGGACATCACACCTGAACTGCCAAACATGGAAATCACACATGAACTGCCAAACATGGACATCTAAATGTCTATGTGAATGTACGCATCGTGAAAGTGGAAATTAAACGAAATAATTAAAAAACGACGTGTCTTTTATTTCCCCGGGGATTATCGTCGGTTAACCGGTTAATAATTTCAATACCGGTAAATGCTCAATTCCGTACCGAAACCGTATAACCGGAATTACCGTCAGCCTCTAGCCTAGAATTCAAAATTGGCATTTAAGTTTCCAGAAATTATCTCAATATTTTTGTCGCTATTTCAATTTTAGACCTAATAATCGATGATTTCTTGATTTTTAATTCAAATCGTGATATAGGCCTAACTACTTTTTGAAAATTGAGAAGATTTAGCCAAGATTTGTCGACTAGTTTCTATAACAAAGAGTATGCCGCCCTTGCACGACTTAATCATTACTCATCTAACAGAATACGATATTTCGATGTAAGTGCCATCTAAACATCGTGGTACTAAACTTTAGGCCAGAATCATTTTCTACCATTACCAATGATTGCTAGGTCGGAAATATAGATGTTGACCAAATTACATGAAATTAGGCGACATCATCCCATGGTATTAGTATATGGGCCAAAACTATGTATCTTGGACTTTTCACTCTATCATTGTGTTTATGGCAACAATATATTTTTGAATTATACAGGAAGCCATTATATTTATTTTATTTCGTTAGTGGTTGTTCCCATGTTGTCGTCTTCATGTGAAATGTCTTTTTCGGAATTGTGATTTGAATAATCATAATCTGAAATGAACATAGCCTGAATAAACACGATCATTTGAAAACACGAGCCGCAGAATATTTTGAATGACCCTTATGCTGTATGTCAATAGCAAAAACTCAACGATCCACAGGTAAGGAAACACTACAAAACGTTCACAAACTAAAACTACCAAATAAAATTATACCTATCATTTTTTCGAACCAAGGTACTTCACGCGTTTCCACTCTCTGGTATCGATATTTTCCAGCTTTTGATGCCCATTTTTGAAATACAAAAATAAGTTGTCAATTTCATCTTCAAAGCTATAAATGCTATTTTTCCGAACCATAGGATATTCCAATAGTATTTGTTGACATCGGTGATATTACAATATAACAGCAGTACAACGGGTAATTATTGTCTCTAGGTTTATTTTCAAATACTGCAAGAAACACTAATAACCTAGTGATAATAATGGCTGAGCGTGGGGAATGAGTGAAGATATCGATATCCATGATAAGAAATGATTTTGAAAAGAAATTGAATTTTGAAAAAATAGAATACTGTAACTCATCGAATATCACTTTTGAAACCATCGAATATCACCCTGAAAGAAGTCATATTCGATTGAGGCACATCTATTATTGAATAAAAAATGACCACATGTGTATAACAACCACTATTGATTTCATTATTAAGAGATCTGATTTTAATAATCTTATCATTTTGTGAGCAAGGACAGCTAATAGTACTCTATTGTTTTCTTTCATATATCACACACTACCCGTATTTTTCTTACATAGTACTACATATTGTTACAATATTCCTGAATAAAACTTCACCTGGATAATTAAAAATATCCATATGCTAACCCTGATAATAATTTTGAGATTATTTATTTTTTATCCCGTCAGGTGCTTAAGTATTGCTTCTTTTGGTCTGAATGTCTAATTTATTTTGTCTGTTCCACATCATATCATCATTTTTGACGGCGTTCGATATATTCTTTGACGGTGTTCGAAGTAATTCTTGACGTTTATCATAGTATTTTGACGACAACTTTTTTCACAGCGTTCAAAGTAGTTTTTGGCGGCGTTCAAATAATTCTTATTCGCGTTCAAAGTATGACGATATTTATTTGGCACATCATGACCACTACAGAGTGGCTCAATGTGATATTTGACCTGCACCAGCTTCTCACAGTGGTTGAAAAGAACAAGGACAAAGAGGAAGGAAGCGTTTCTTTATAATCTAATTTTGTCCACATAAGATTGATTTTTAACTTATTCATTATGCAATATTCGTATCCGTCTTCCACATGGAAACCGTGTCTATCCACGCAAACATGAGCTCGCCTCAACATGTCCCTAAGAGCACGACTGATGAGCTCCCCGTACCATATTGACTTTATCAATTATGTTTTGCTGAAGAAGTTTATCCAGATCAGTTAGGCGTATTTCGGGGGCGTTGTGAAGAACTTGCTCTTTATGTGTTCCAATAACAGGAAATCTGGGGGGGGGGTGAAACGGATGACCTTTGGGGCCATTCGACTGGGTACTCAATGCTATGATCCGACTTCCGAAGAGTTACATGTATGTGGAGAAGAGCGCTGTCTTGTCACCACACATGTCGACCATTCTGTTGATGCCGCAATCTTGGAAAATCGTTCAGGAAAGGCATGGCACGTTCAAACCACTGAGAAGTCGACGCATGTCAGATTTCCCATGGGTCAATGAAATCTATCCTGTGTAGTCAACCATGGAATGATTATGAATCTGCTGGTATGAAATGAATCAAGAGAGTTTTTTCTTCAAGTTTTCAAGTATATTTAAGGGTTAATGTCAAGATTATAAAAATATAGACCTTTTTATACTTGTAACGTATCATTGAGCAACTTTCACCGTGACTCTGTAGTTCTCATAAAAACCTATGATGACGAAGAGAGGTTTCCTATCCTAACATACACAGATGGATCGCGTTCGAAATATTACTTATGCACCGTTTATTTATTACTCATTCGTTATTGAAGACATTATAGTTTGGAAATTGCAATGTAAACGAAATAAATGATGTTAAACACGGATTTACATTGAAACTTGCGAGAATCTTTTTCACATCGAAAATGTTTATAATACGCATATGACTGCATACATTTTACGTCTCCCGATTCTGATTTAATTCAGTGTACTTTCATATTTCTACTAACACCTTAAGATCATTACATAAGGGTTTATCACAAATATGAGAACTCTGATGATAAAATAAAAGGTTTTATCATGGTATTGCTCAAGTAATAATAGATTTATCATCTGCCGCGATTCTAGACTTTCTGACTCTGAAGACTTCTCACAATTAAATTTATCCCAAGGCGTACCAGCTGGATATTGATTTTTATCCCATACTTGGACGTGTTACGGGTACATAAAGCCGGTTTGTAAAAACTTATATATTCATCAGCGGGCAGATATAGCTTTACGTCCCGCTCCGAGCGGGCAGATATAGTATATCTGCCCGCTACGTCATAATCGCTGTTCCCGTATTGGTTCTTTTTTTGTAACGTTCGCATACTGTAAACGGCAATGGAGAAAAGTTTCTGAACTTTGGCCAATTGAACAATGTGATTGGTATGGGATAAACAGATCATCCTATAGTCGGTTCAGGATATTGGGATTATCCCTTGGCCAATATAATACATCTACCCTCGGGACCTACGGCCCTCGGGCAGATATATTGGCCTCGGGATAATCCCAATATCCTGAACCTCATATAGGATAATCTCTATTTATCCTATGCCAAGTAGAGTTTTAGGGAGATAAGTTGGTAAGATATATCCCGCAACCTGATTTTGAGGTTTCCATATCCTGAACCCCCATATCTCCCGCCATATCTCCCGCTCCAGGGCATATCTTCCCGCTACGGTCCCTCAGGTAGATATGCATATCTCCCTCTGGATAAACCCCATATCCAAAACCTCCCAGTACATTACCCTTATTTATCCTATCACAAGTGAGATTTCAGGTACATAACAAACCTGAATTGTCATAGGAAAAATTAGTTATGTGATGCTCGGTTTTGAAAATGGGGTATATCCACCGGAAAATATAATAGCTAAAATATCTATATGCCCCGTATCCAAAACCTCTGTCAATTTGTTGATAATGGTAGTCTTATTAAAGCGAAAGTCAAATGCCATGCAGTAGAATTTTTCCTTACCAAATGTTGTTGAATTTCTCGAAAATAATAAGAACGAGAACACTCACTTGTCATAGGAAAAATTAGTTACATTATATTAGTTTTGAATATGAGGTATTTCCCTCGGGAAACATAATAGCTATAATATCTATACTTTCCTCAAAGATATATCCCATGTCTAAAAACCTCCCATAACACAACCCTCATGTATTCTGACTAAATAAGTTTCCCTGAATAAGCTTAGATCCAAATCTTCCCCCATAAGTTCAGATTAAACCCTGTTTTAAAGAAGTAAAATCAAAGTGAGGCTGAATTAAAACGGTCGGGGGTTTCTGATGTACCGTTTGGGAAACTGGCCTCATACCAAATCGCAAGTATTCCCGAAGTTTTGCTAAGCCAAAATGAATCCTATCTAAAATAACAGTTATTTTTGTCAGTGTTTTTTTTTCAATGAAGAATTTTTATATATTTGATATACTCCTCAAGGCATGTCTCTAAAACTTTACTGGTGGAAATTTTAGGTACCCATATCGATTGGGTTTGGAAATAACAAATAATAAGACAACCCATACAATATTTATATTATACTGGTATGCTGTAATATTGCTTTATAAAAATATGCACCTATGTCTCCTACTCAGTTACGAACCAACACATCGAAGCAGAAGAAAGAAGAAAAATGTTTGTGACAACGCTGGGAATCGCTTTGCTTTCATTACTGACTGGTGAGTTTATTTTTCTTTAGTAATAGGCTTACGTGTACAATCACAACATAATTTCAATAGCAATATTAAAAAAAAAGAAAATACATCTTTTAAATACTCAAGAAATCTGTGAAGAGAGTAATAAAAAGTTCGTTATAGAAATAATCAGGCAACAGTTGTGACCGATCTTAATCATCTCATTTAGTTCCTTTTTCACAGCAAACAGCATATAAATGATCATGAACTAAATCCGACTATGACATTTGTTTAGCGTCTTTATTCGATATTCAATTTCAGGCTTGATATTTAATTTTTTGTTTGAATTTTCACTTTTCACAAGCAAAAACTAAATCAAACACCGAAAAATCTTTCATTGCAGGGTCAGTTGTAGCTTCGATATTCAATTTTCAACATTCAAAAACCGGATTGAAACTAAAAAACATTCTTCCAAAACATTCATTTTTAGATCCTAAAGTTTTTTTCTAGTCAAATAATTCGGCACCTCAGAGGATCGGATCATTTAGGCCTCAAAAACCGATTTGAAAAGCTATCTTGTTTCCTTTTTGTGACCACTTTTTTGTTTCAGACAATATTTCTAATTTTCAGAGCTCCTATCATCTAAAGCAATATATTGGGGACATTTTCTGAAAAATTCAAAATATTCTGTTCAGTGACTTTTCGGAAATGCTAACTTTTAACCTTTTTCAGTCACAATTTCAGAGAGAATAAGTGATTCCTTTTAGATAAAGTGGAAAACAATATTTCTCATGTTGTTTTCCCATAGGGAAGACTCATGCGATCCATTGCTTTCAGCTAATTTTGGTCAGCCATAATCACGGGGTGCCATCGAATAATTTTGGCAATGTACCGGAGAACGACATTTTACTAAGAAATGGCAATAATTTAGCACAATATATTTTTAACTAGAGTTCTATTTTGATTTTGACAAAAGTAAGTATTCCATGCAATAACTATTTCATTCATGAGTTTGTAGGAATTCTGTTGGAACCCAGTTCTGATCAAGTACGAAGTTATTGAAATCGGCGCAGACGGACTTTACTCCGAAAGATGGTTTTTCGATTATAACTTTTCACAACATTTAAGTATAGACTTTTGAAAAAAGTACAGAATAGTCCTTATACTTTTGAATAATTCTGTTATTTCTGATTCACACGACTCTGATTTGTTTAATTAAAAAAAAAGTTTTAAAAATATTACTTAGGAACGTAACCGGAGCTGGGAACGTAACCGGAGCAGATTAGTTGAATTATTTAATCAAAAAAATTAAAATATATGATTTGTAACATGGTCATTTTCACATTGTTTATATTTCTACTTTTCATATTGACCAATCCCCATCCATGTCATTTTAACAGGTCCCTTCATTACTTTACACCAGTGTTTCAAATATTTAATTCCAATGTTTTCAATTCTTTTGTATACTTTCTACTTTATCTTCCTTTATTTAAAGCAATTTTTAGCTTTTCATGGTGTGATTGTTTCGTACTGTTTTTGTATTCCATATAATAGCATTCACTCACATGTAGCTGAGTTTGGGTGTTGGCCCAGCCTCAGTAGTTGTAGATTGTACAGAGAACGTTTGAAGTTTATTTTAAATAGACTATTTTATATATTTTAACTTATTTGCCACCCACGGGCCTTACACTCGCCCCGTTACATATTTAAAGCACATATACTAATTTAAAAACATACGGGATTGTTCGAATGCGTATTTATTACATTTTATTTAAAGAAAAAAATTATCAATTGTGAAAAATTAAATTTGGTATTTACCATGCATAAGTGCACTTACCTTAGAAAGGCTATCAAACATAGAACAATCATTGTATGGAGAATGGAGTGATTAAATGTAGTAAGCAAATAATTCCATTTGATTTCACCCATTGTATTTGTTCAGCGAACTATTAGAACCCACTCTGTTATACTAATTTCTAATTAATTTCTAATTTATACTAATTGCCATGCATTGATTTTCCTGTAAGTGAAGGGTAAAAAATGCTCATTTTTACATTCATATGTGTTTGAAAATAATAAATATGCTTTAAATCATATATTGTATTTTTTTGAATTATATAATTCAACTGATCTGCTCCGGTTACGTTCCCAGCTCCGGTTACGTTCCTAAGTAATATTTTTAAAACTTTTTTTTTAATTAAACAAATCAGAGTCATGTGAATCAGAAATAACAGAATTATTCAATAGTATAAGGACTATTCTGTACTTTTTTCAAAAGTCTATACTTAAATGTTGTAAAAAGTTATAATCGAAAAACCATCTTTGGGAGTAAAGTCCGACTGCGCCGATTTCAATAACTTCGTACTTGATCAGAACTGGGTTCCAACAGAATTCCTTCAAACTCATGAATGAAATAGCCATTGCATGGAATACTTACTTTTGTCAAAATCAAAGTAGAACTCGAGTTAAAAAATATATTGTGCTAAATTATTGCCATTTCTTAGTAAAATGTCGTTCTCCGGTACGTTGCCAAAATTATTCGATGGTACCCCGTGATAATGGATATCTTTAAATACCCCGAAGGAATCACTTATTCCTTTAGAGGGTTTAACTTTGTTTCGAAACACAACATATTTATGCAAGAAAAATTAAAAAGCAGGGGTGGAAGGGGTTGATAATAGGGAAAACATTTCAGAAAAACATGTGGATGGGCTGTTTGCATCTTCCCTGTCTCAAAGTCGAAATTATTTGATCATCTCTGGGAGTGCTTTTCCTGGAGGTAATGCACCCACTACCCGAAATCTGTCATCCTTTCTCCTTTCTGATAACTACCCCGACACCTTAAGGGACACACCTGTAGATATGTAACACTTCCACCGGGGTTTTCATCGTAATCAGAATCGCTACATGCAATTGCATTTGATAATTTGGTCTCAGACTGATATAAAATATTGTGGTGTTTGTATTTTAATGCTGCGATATGATGTTTCACGTATGTTTCAGCACGATCAGAAAGCGGATTTTACTCAGATGCCAAATCCTCAGCTGACAACTTAGCTGTCAGCAACTCAAATTCCAACAAAGATGCAGGTAGGTAGGTTGAGGTACTATGAAGTGACCCATAGACATTATAGATTGGTTCATTGACTATTCATTTTACTTGTCTGCAGTAAAAAGGTGACACGAAAGGGCTAAACGTCTTGCCCTAAAGTACAACTGTCAAAAAGAAGAGTTTCAAAAAATATTTTTCAAACAATAGCAGCTAGTATACGAAATAGGACCCAAACCTAAAACTAATAAAGCGGCAACTCTATATGAAACCAACACGAACTTCAAAAAATGCGGACAACCAGTGCATACGAGGTGTGATCAAAAGTAATGGATGCTTTTTTACACAGATGCTTTTTATAGACCAATCCCTTCGATTTTCTTACCAGTGATACATCATTCAATTATCTATCAATTCTGAAGATTTGGAAATAAAAGATGTAATATATTTTGATACATCTTTATTTCCGTGAAGGATGTATAGGAACCCCAGGACCGCCATGACGTCAAACATTTTGAAGCTATTTTAGCTTGTTTAGCATGCAATGCAGTTGAATGCAGGCTGGACAAAACAAACCATTATGGTCATGAATTACCCCATTTTGTTATGCCATAGTTGATTTCGAACGTTTTATCATCCCTATGTGGTATTCATGCCACATTCATTACACAGGGCCCTCTATATAGGTTCCATCAAGTGCTACATGTACACAATTCCTCATCCTCTTAACTCAAGATTGTGAGACAAGGGTGAATCCATTCTCTGACATGGTAGCAAGATGCAGTTGCACGGGTTGTTTTGTTTAATCAATGCATCCGTTCTATATAGAAATAAGTAGTATAGAAATAAATAAGTCACATATGAGCAGATCTCACTGGGGAGTATCGTGATGCAACAACACCGTGTTGTTGCATCAAGATGGCCAGACTTCCGGTGATAGATTTTCGTACGATATTTTGTTTCCCCAATTAAACCCATTTCTAGGACGAGTTGCTCAATAACCATACACGTGCAGTTAGCGCACGATCTATATTTAAAGAAACTGTCATTAGTATACATGTACCATCACCAAGAAGCAATAACTTCACGGTTTTAGTTCCTCACTATTGATGCAACAACACCAAACCGAAGATGCAACAACACTCCTCTAGATTTGAGCAATGATGCAGCAACACCAATTGATAGTATAATTTCAGAAGACCATAAATCTCGAGAGGAACAGATTTTTAAATGCTACTATTGCAACACCGTTACCCATTACCCATATTTGCGTTCTTCTCAAGGCTTTCAAAATACACGTCATGCGGGCGAAGATCCTTTATATGTTTTTTCAAAAATGTATACTTTTAAATATTATAATGTACTGGACGTTGTTCTATAACATAGTTCAATCGCCTTTAACATGGCAAGCTTTAGTAACCCAATCTATTTTCATAAACCACTGTTCCATAGCTTGATGACCCTGACTCCAGTTAGTATCATTCAAAATGGTGGACAAACATCTTTCGTTCTCGATAAACATGATGAGCTATTGGAAATTATCTGTCATCCATCTGTGGAACAGTGATAAACTAGTAGATGTAAGTTACCACTGTTTATCAAATTATAACTAAAACAGTTTAACTGTGACATTCGTGAGCTTATGTTGATGGGATGATTGCTTCATCTATGATATAATATGATATGATTCTGTATTTCCTCCAATTTGGAGAGCCAACGTGTAAACACGTCTAATTGACTTTATTAGAGAGGCCGTTTAGTTACACGTTTAATGGAAATCTTGCACGACGCACATGTAGAATTATTGATCTCTTTGGAATCCTTTTCTCCGACTGTGTAAAAAGGTAAACAAAAGTGATAAGATTAAGGGGCCAAAAAGGTAAATTGATAGGGGTACAGTTATTCCAGATATCCCGGGCCCTCGGGAAATATCATATTTTCTCTCGGAATAAAACCAATATTGAATCCCTCTCAGTAAATAACCTTTATATAATAGCATTGTATAACTGCAATATCATTAAACCAACACTCATCCTATACAATTCTTGAGAACTATGTACAACTCCTGGATAGCGTAAACTCCTGAGCAGCGTATACAACTCTTCAACTTGATATATGACATCATACTTTGGGTGGGATAACAAAGGATATACAATATACAATTGTAGACCTCTCTTGAGGTCAACTGGCAAAATTGTATACCGATACTGTAATCCTTGAAAGTTCGGAGGTCGAGGTCAACAGTACTCTCAGGGTTTACTGTTGAGGTATACACTTTTGCCAGTTGACCGAAAAGAGAGGTTAACAATTGTTCTGTTAGTCCAAATAATATAATAATTGGACGAATATATAATTGAATATCACGTGAACATATTTGATAATTATAGGATATCCTATGATTTTGAGGAATATCATTTTTATCTACGAGGTGATATTGATATCTGCACGAGAGAGCAAAGCGAACGAGTGCATATATCAATATCACCGAGTAGATTAAAATGATATTCTGAAAAAAATCATAGGATGTTCTTATTATCCTACACTTACAAGGAGTGTTCCAAATGTATAATATCATTGCAAAATGAATTTCCTGCCAAATAGAGTCAATTTGGCGGGAAATCAACAAGCGGAGTATATCGTCACAATTATCCTCCGCATATTGGGTTTTCCGGAGTATATCGTCACGATATCCTCCGCCCGGAGTATATCGTTACGATATCCTCCGCCCGGAGTATATCGTTACGATATCCTCCGGTTATTTATTTTGCCAATAAATATCAAATTTATTTTTTAATGTTATTATACATTTAGTACATTAAGTGTAGGATAAGTAAAGGTATCATATTTTAGCAAAAAATCCCCAAACCGTCGAATACTTGTAATTTTTTACAGAACTTATTTTTTCAAAATTAAAAAAATTTCAACATAAAAAACAATTTTTCAAAAATAGGGGTCAACAGTACCTAGTAGTGGTCAACAGTTTACAATTGTTGACCTCCCCAGAGGTCAACCGGCAAAATTGTATACCGAGACTGTAAACCGAAAAACTACTGTTGACAGAGACCGAAGGTCGAGGTCAACAGTAGTTTCAAGGTTTACAGTCGAGGTATATGATTTTGACGGTTGGTCGAATGGAGAGGTCTACAATTGTTTTGTTAGTCGGAGTAAACTAATAATACACATATAGCAACAATCATTAATCGGCATGGCTTCATTTAACAAACTTTTCTCCGAACCACGTTTGCAATATTGTTTTAGAAAATCTGGATACAGTGCAAGTAGCTTACCTCTGTATTTGGCACATCACGGCGTACTCGTTAGTGAATTAATGTTAATTTTAAGTTTCTACTTGTATTTTTGCTATACTTGTCGCCTAGTAAAGTCATTTTCATTAACGTTTACAAAATGTCCGTCTTCCATGTTTTTTGTGACGTCATGAAACTTTTTTTCAGAAGTAGCGGTCAACAGTACCTAGTAGCGGTCAACAGTACATAATTTTGACCGCTAATCACCCAATCAGAATCGAGTATTTCAGTTGAGGTACTAACAATACATTTTGTTGACCGCTCATCAACCAATCAGAATTGAGTATTTCAATTGAGGTACTAACAACACAAAATGACTGATATCTGTTGTCTTTCCAAAATTATATTAGTTATTTGTAAGCAATTTCCATACGGTAAATCAAGGGCATTTAATTTAGAAAATGTATAATCTTTATTTTTCCGATACAATATCAATGAGATTGCCTCCCGGGGATTCTGTACTTTATTTAGTTTGTCTTGTATATCCTTTTAACTTTGATATAGACAAAGAGACCAAACAAAATACGTTTCGTTCATGGACCACTGACTCACGCGTTTTATTCATGTCCCGACCTACACCTGTAAACAGAATATAAAACAGTTTCTCTTGTTGTTCAATGATACATTATATTGGCGTTTTTGCATCAGCACATTGGTGTTGTTGCATCATCGATAAGAAACAGAGTGGTGTTGTTGCATCAATAGTGAGGAATTAAAACCACGAATTTATCGCTTCTTGATGATGCTACATGTATACCAATGACAGTTTTTTAAGATATAGATCATGTGCTAACTGCATGTGTATGATTATTGAGCAACTCGTCCTAGAAATGGGTGTAAATTGGGAAAACAAAACATCGTACGAAAATCGATCACCGGAAGTCTGGCCATCTTGATGCAACAACACGGTGTTGTTGCATCACGATACCCCCCAGTGAGATCTGGACAATATGGTGCATTGGCCAAGGGCTTAGTTTTGAGGTCCAGGGATATTGTTTTCTGAACATTTTGAGATCTGTAGGCAGGTGCATTGTCCATATGGATTAGGGTGTTCCCTTCTCTCACCACCCTTCTTCCACAATGCTTTCTCAAGTTGATCTGCAAACCCCTTCCATACAACACTCTGACATCACAGTACTTTCTGTTTATGTGTTACCAGTCAGCAAAATATTTCAAACAACACAACACATGTTGCATATAAAAAGTTCAAATCTAGCTATTTGCCAAACTGACTAAAAACTGAATATTCGAATATGTGACGTAAATGTCGGTCCCGGGGTACCTGTACCTCCTTCACGGAAATAAGGATATATCAACATGATTATATATTTTGTCTTCAAATTTTCAGAATTGATAGATACTAGTAATTGAATGATGTATCACTGGTAGGAAAATCAAAGGGATTGGTCTATAAAAAAGTATCCGTGTAAAAAAGCGTCCATTACTTATTGATCACCCCTCGTATGTTATGAAGCACCGGAAATGGTATCTGAGCAATTTAAACACATCAACAACAAACCACAAACACCAATACGATGCTGAGACGACAAACTAAGCAACCAAACAACTTTAACACAAAACTAATGAAACATTTCTATGAAATCAACACGAATTTCACAAACGCAGACAGCCATACGAAGAAATCATTAAAATAGGAAAACCGCCCCCTGAATCAAGTTAATAATATCACAGATAGCAGAATTTCTTTAGGATGTATTTTCTTAGAAAAATTATGC